GAAATGACCAAATTCTGCGTTGTCTGGAGAACGTGGACCACAACGGCTAATTTTACGTATTTCTATTTGGTATTGAACGCATTCGTAGCATATTCAGCAGGAGCAAGTTTTAATACCAACAGACAGACTGGATAGTTCCAAATAAATGCAAAATTCCAAAGTAAAATAGAAACACATTTTTCACTAGGCGTCGTCCTCGCCGCCGTCGTCGTCGTATATGCGTTGGGTCCCTATTATCGGAATACCACCCTTCCTACACAGATTAAAGGCTGTTAAAGATGCTGTAAAAGAACGCGAAAGTCACATCCTGCAGGTAGAAGTTAGAATATCTGAGGCGGAAACCAACATTGACAGAGTGAAAGCAAAATGTTCAAATGTTGTTGAATCACTTAGCTACGCCCAAACAACAAGACGACCTCAAGGAAAGAGTGTCCATGAGGGAAAACGAGGTGTCCGCTCAAGGCGACGAGATTTCAAAACAAAGCATCTACTGTCAGCGATGGAATCTTATCTTTTATCGTATTCCGGAATTTTCTTGCGAAGATTGTTCATCGCTTAAAAATGTCATAACTGGGAATCTCTAAAGTTGGAAGAAGCAGAGGTGAAAAATATGAGATTCTTTCACCAAATCGGACAGCACAGGAGAAGTAAGATCCATCCGAGACAACTAGTTAGGGAGTTTAGAAAACACGACGGCAACGGTAACGGGAATTTCGCTAAACAAAAGCTTCAATGAGCAGAGCAATGGCTGTGCGGCACGTGCGTTATAATTCTTTGTACATTTCTTTGCCGTCCTCTACAAAACAACAACGTGAAATGACAAAATTCTGCGTTGTCCAGAGAACGTGAACCACGACGGCTAATTTTTTTATCTTTATTTCAAATGTTTCGCCCTGTCCTAGATTCAGTTCGTGACAGCTTTGACAGTGATAAACAAAGTAAATGACTTTAGTAACCGCGAGATTCGTATTCGTAGGCAAAATATAAAATCGTTTTTTAAGCAATTTTGTCCTCGACGTCGCGTCCTGGTTTCTTAAACTCCCTATTAAATTACACCGTTGAAAAGACCGTATGTTCTATCACACCGCTGACCACCCGCACCACCTATTCCGCTTGTCTAAGTGAGATGGTTACCTCTCCAACTTGCGAAAATAAGATTTTTAAATACAGGTTTACGAAAGAGAATATTCAAAACGTATATGTACTTCCTTTTACAACAACTAGGGATACAAAGATAGTCACGTTTCAATACAAAGTAATTCATATCCTTCCTAATCAACTCAGCCTGACCCGTGCAGGTAAAGCTAATGATGAAACTTGTCCTCTGTGTAACACTGAAAAGCTAACCAAAATTTACATGCTTTACAGCTGCCCCCTGCCATGCTCTGGGGTCGGTTCACCGATTGGT